AAAAAAAAAAACCCTTCCTTTCTTCTCCATCTAAGCACTCACTCACTTCTTCTCCAATTTCACATCCACCTCCTAAGAATCAATTTTCTTGTCTTTATCTTTCTTTCTTCATCTTCACACCCCAACCCTTTTTTCTTCATCACCAATTCTTTTAATTTTGTTGTATATTAAATTGATTTCTAAAATACAATTTTCCCTCAAGCCAATTAATGTCCTCCATTAAAAAGCACCCAAGGATTTAAATTTGAACTAACTTAACATTAGGCCTAAAATTCTATGTTTGGATGGCTGGGTTCGTGAATTGATGAGAGATTTTCTTTGAATTTTAGCTGGAACTAATTTGAAGGCCATAAAATTTAGCTATAATGGATGTTTGGTAGTGGGTATGGAAGCAAAAGAAAAAAGAAAAAAAGTGCAAATGAAAAGAAAGAAGAAAAAATAGCAAAAAGTACAAATTTATTATATTTCTGACCTGATGTTGATGTGGTGGTGGTATTAAATTCACTTTGGACAAATATAGGGATGCAATGGGAAGCCCGTAAAGGTTAAGTGTGAAATTAATTTTTTTGCACAAGTACGTATTTTCCCTATTTAAAACTTTAAAATCATTAAAATTTTACCTAATAAAAATCTTGCATTTAATCTATATATAAATGATAAAGAAAATAAATAAAGGGAATAATTAAAAAGATCAAAAAAGGGAAGTATGAGGTTTTAAATAATACATAGGTGGCCAAAGTCTTATAAACTTTTGTACGTTCTGATTTATATGGAACAATTATCAGTTATTCCAAAATGATAATTTATAAAATATATTAATATTTTTAAATATCATTTTTAACATTTTTTAAATTTGGCTGAATATAAGTAGGTTTGTTGACAAAAATTATGGCTTTGCATTTGATTTAGAATTTATTTATTGTACATAGTGATTCTTAATAATTTGATTTACAAAGTATTTCTATTGCTTTTCTTTTTTTGGGAACATAGTCATTCATGGATGATTTTGTATCTAATCGATTTTTTGCTATTTGAAAAAAAAAATCTTATTTAATCAGAATATAACCACAGTTAAATATTTAAAATTTGGTATTAGCTAATACTATTGAATTACTCATCTCACTTGAATAATGACACTTCAAAATCAAATACACATTTTCAATTCTAATTTCAGTCATTAAAATAAATTTTAAGTTGAATTATTGACTGATAATTAAGTATTTATATTGGACAATTTATTTTACTATAGAGTTAATTATACACGATCAACATTTATTATTTTTAAAAACATATACTTTTATTTTATAACTCAAAGATAAACTTTATTTTTACTCATTGAAATAGGGTACACGCGCTTTAATAGTACCAAATGTGTGGGCACATGCGGATTTACGTTTTGAGATATGAGTGCTGAAACACCCATCGACTTTGGCCAAATTGTGTTATGTATTTATAGATAATACTTAAAAATTTAAATAATTAACCACGAGCACTCACTATGATGATGTTTGACTATTGTAAATTTACATTAAAATTAGTGAAGCACTCATGACCTATAAATCCTGGATCCGCCACTGTATATGAGAGAAAGACATATATAGGGAGAGACGTCCCATTCCAAGTCTATGGTGACAATAATGGTGTTTTCATACCAATTGTTGAGATGATCAACTAATTGCAAGAGAATAATGGCACTTAAGAAACTTATGACTGGTTAATTTATGAACTCTATACATGAATTTTCACGTAGAAAACTTTAATGTATATTAGAATTAGTGAAAAGAAAATAAAAATTTTTCTCTACCTTCTAATTTTCATAATTTTATACTCATTATTATTGTTAATGCAACGGTATCCAAACATTATCGATTATTCCAATCACACTTAATATAAAAGAAAATGTATCATGCTTAGCAAGTACTTGACATGTGAGATCTCACAACCACGTCAGACAATGTAGTAAAATAAAAATCTTTTACACGGGCTAAGCATATAAAAAAATAATGGCTACAGAAAAATGTCCATCCTAATGTTGTTAGTAGCAACTTCTTAATATTTTTTTTTAAAAAAATCGTTGTATAATATTTTAAATTTATTATTATAATTATAATTATTATTACTATCATCATTATCATTCTGTGTTTGGAGCCTTATATTCTGCATATATTTAAAAGTTTTGCTTATTTATCATTGCTTTTTATTGTAGCTGACATGATGTATGGTTTTCACTTAATTTTTTTTTTTTTTTTGGTTATGTTATGGACTCAACCTAGAGCCTGATACAGGGATAAAGTTTTCATCTTCAGATGAGGTATTATTCTACTCTTAAATAATTTAATTGAATCGCCATTAACTGAAGAAGTCACAATTACATCATCTTTCTCTCAAGCTGGCACTCTAAAATAGGGTACCAATGACAACTAGAACTTAGTATTTTAGATGAAAATATTGATCATTCTCTTTTTGTTATTTGAAGCTGTTCTCATCTATAGTAAGATATGATTGAAATATTATTCCGTTAACAACATTTCTTAAGAAGGGTAAATCATCCAAGCAAGCATCAGTGTCGTAAAACGCAATCCTCACATTGCTCAAATACATCAGACAATTACTCATAAGATGGTCTTGACTATTCAAATATGTAGTTTTTCGTTTAATTATTTGATTTCATAAAAATAAGTTGATTTCTATTAGAAAAATTTATGAAATTCCCATTTAACTATTTCTTTAAATTTTTTTTAAAACCGTGCGAAGCGTGGACAGATACACTAGTTACTCATAAAATGGGAGTTGATGTCTTTTCGTATGTTTGTATTATAGGCTAATTAAAAATATTGATCTACTGCAAATGAGTTCTATTTAAGGAAACGCTTAACCTATTTAATTGTTTGTCTTAATTTGGAAGTAAAACGTTTTCTCGTAATTACCTACCTCGTTGCGAACAAAAACCTTAAACTAAGTAAAGAAGGGTAAAAAAGAGAGCACATATTTATTCACCGATCGAAACCTTAACAATATCCTATTACCCGCTCCTATAAATCCTATCGCCTTTGGCATCTTTTATGCACATTTGAGTTTAAATAAAAACTATGGTTGTTATTTCAGTGAAGGCCCTATTGCTTTTACAACTTTCAATTTTAGTA